TATCTAAGGCATGACTCTCAATACTAACTTTCACAGCACTAACAAAACAAGCCCAGACACCTATGCCAATCGCTGCAAAGCCTATGTTAGTCTGAATTTTACCGGGCTTGACTTTTACAGACAGTTAAAACGCTGTTCGTGGATGAGGCAAAACGTTAGCCTCATTAGCTGCCATGCTAACAACCACGATGCAACAGGTACATACAGTAAAGCAACATAAAATAGGTGAAACTTACAGCATCCCAAGTTTGAAGTTGGATTCTCGACAGTTGGTACTGATCCATGCTTTATCTTCAGAATGTAGCGAATCCCGCATTTTACTGGCCCTTGTTGAGAAAGCAGTCGCACGTGAATGGTTTAACCCGCTACAGCTCCTAAAGTGTCCATCAACAAATTAAAATAAAAACAAATCCACTGGTCTTCAGATCTTCAGACGTAGAGGGTAAAAAACTTCTGTGTTGGTTTGTACAGCCAACAACCGAGCAACTAGCGTGCTTCGCTCGTACCTTCGACATAGTTTTACCGGAGCCTACTGATCGAGGGATGTAAACGATAGCTTGCTGCAAGGCGCGACTCAGAGGGCGGAACACACACCTGGCTCGGGGAGTGTCACCCACCTGGGTGAGGAGGTGTTATTTCCCTTCATGACGACATCCAAGGGAAAATCTCAATTGGCCTGTGTGAGTACACATTTTCTGAAAGGTTGGGAGCAAGCAAAAGACAGAAAGATGGACTTTTCTCCATGTTTGGGGGTTTGTAGACAGCCGGGTGACACATATTACTGATAGAAAACCATGGAAAAGTGCATTTCTGCATAATATGTCCCCTTTAAAACATCCAGTTTACAAGTTCTACTTTTCATTGTCAGCTATATCATTAAGCTACTTCAGCAGTGCTTCAGCAGTTGCTTCAGCTAATTCAGCATTGCTTCAGTTTTTGCTTCAGCTTTTCCTTCATCTTTTTCACGCATTGCTTCAGCAATCTCATTCAGCTCTCAGCATTCGCACGCAAGAAAATGCATTTTCTAGTTATTATTATTCTTAAGACCTTCCGTATACGCTTTTTGGATTCTAACCACTCCTACAGTTTTTGTTGCTACGAAAGACCGTTCACGCTATGAAATACATTCGGCTTTTCTGTATTATTATCGATGTATTCACCTTTTTTGATATTATTCATAATTTTTTTGAAATATTAATCTTTTTTTGAATTTTTTTTTGCCATTCAAATGACTGTGAGACCCATGTTCAAATACTTGAAATCTTCCAGCCTCTTTAAACTTTAACTACTTCAGCATACTTTCAGCTACAGACTTTATTTCAACGTTTTAAACGTAAACAAGCCTTTCAGCTATTAAGTTTTGTGTTAAAATGTTTGATATGTTCGACAGTTTTTGAATTATAGCAGTTTTAGTTTTAAGGTTTTTTCTGATCATTTTTGAGTTTATAATGGGTGTGTATTGCATTCATCATGACATCATTGCCTCAAGTGGGAAAGGCTCTAGAACTCCTCTGAAAAAAATTCTGTTTAACTCTAAGATTTTTTTGTCCTGTATTCACCCAGTTTTTGGTCGTCATTCTGATATCTTTTTTCCAGTTTTTGAGTGAGGTGATTTGGAGTTACCCTCCCACCTCTCCCATTGACTGCAATACAAATTCAGGAGCAGGTGTTATTGACAGAAAACGGGCGAAGCTGATTAGCGTCACTCTTTCTAAAATCTGATTGGCTTAGGCTAATTGAACTCATTAATCCTTAGCCTTTTGACCCAAGTATAACAACTCAAAGATAAATCAATATGGTGTATTTGTGTGTGAAAGTGTGTGTTGATGTGTGGTTCTTTGTGTGTATGTATATGTCTTTTTAATAATTGTGAAGACAATTTTGGTTAAAAACCATTATTGTGAGATCGTTTTGGCCAGGTCAGTGTCTGGATAAGTCTCTACAACATGAATGAGACTGAAAGTAATGTCCTTTGTACAGATTCAAGCGTGAGGAGTGAAGTACACACACGTTCAAAATTTCTTTCATAACTTTCTGTGAGGTAAAGTGAATCAACATATTTTTCATCTCTAATTATCAACACAGTCATCTCAGCATGGTTTCACTTGGTCTTTCAGTGAATTTCTTTGTTGGATTCTTCATGGGAGCTCTGCTCTCCTTTGTTTTTCACATCCTGCCACTGCCTTTCTCAAGTGCAAGCCACAGAGGAAACTGAAAGCTTTAATAGAAACATTTCACATGACATCTGAGGCAGAGATCCACACACGCACGCACACACACACACACACACACACACACACACACACACACACACACACACACACACACACACACACACTCACACACACACCTTACACAAGTCTACATAAGTCATTGGAAGAATCAGAAGATAGGATATGATTGCATGAAAGGTTCAGTGATTGTGTGTTAATCTCTTCTTTTATTTAGAGAGGAAGCAACAACAACAAAAAACAAGGAGAGAAACACAATTCCTCAGAATGTTGTGCTGTCGAAGAATAGGTTCAATAGTCACAGCCTTGAGCTACTTCAGAGTGATCCTGCTTTGGACTGAATGATACAGCTTATTTAGACACATCTGACTGTACACTGTGAGGTAACAATGCATACATCACAGTTCATATCACAGCAGTTCATCAGAAAGAAAATAAGAAAGAGAAAAAAAGGTTTGTGTGTTTCACAATGGTATTACATTTTGACTTCATGCTAAAAAAAAAAAGGTTCTGGCATATAAAGATAAAGAATTGAACATAATCTAGAAGAGAGTGATGCTGATGATTGGAGCCTCTTTGTAAAATCTCAAAGCATTGATCACATTTCTGGGGATATATTCATATGGTTTTGATAAATGAATCCCAGGAAACAATTACTAATAAAATGTCAGCTCACAGTGAATAGTATTGTCATTATAAGTAACTAAAGCAATAACTTTTCCACAAGTATAACCCTTATTCCTGCTAACCTAATAACAACAACTTTGTGTTTTTATTCAAATAATGACAAATTCACATTTTCATTTCATAAATGTAGAAAAAAAATGAATGAAGATCTTTTTGCCCAAACTTTAAAAACACCAACCACACCTGTAAAGCTCCCTGATTAATGGTCTGTTAATATATGGTCTGTGAGCACTGTGCAGGGACCACAGTGCTAAATGTCTGATTCTTGGTGCCATAATTAGATCTGGAATTGATTCTTGATTCAAACCTGATTAAGTAAATAGAAAGGGGTCCACTATTTTCACGCTCTTAATCGAGTGAAAAGCAGTATGAAATGTAACAACTTCTGCAGCACCAGGGAAAACCTTCATTAACCAAACACTGAACGCACAGGGCTTTTGAAATGAAACAAACTGACTAGAGATGTCTGTGAATTTAGTGCTGCAGTGTGTGTTGGACTCTGAGCAATGAGGTATCATGAAAAGCTAATTATGAAGTTATTAAATCCAGAATGAGCCCAAACACTTTCCATTTTTGAAGATGAAGAACAAGATAACTCTATCTCACATTATCCAGGTGCTTCACATTATCCAGGTGCTAAGAATTTTGAGGTGAATTGTTTTCCCACTTCCCTAATAGACAGATTTATTAACTTTGGACAGAGCCAGGCTGTTTCCTCCTGCTTCCAGTCAGTAGGCTAAGCTAGGCTCACTACATCCTGCTTGTATGGACTTAACACGCAGATATGATAGTGGTATCAATCTTATCATCACATTCTCAGGAAGACAGCATAATCTCAAAAATATTGAAAAATTCCTTCATGCAACCTCTTGCCTGGTCCAGCTTAAAACACATGTGAAACAAATAATCAACATGTTAAAATTGACACAAGCTTCGTGAAGCCCAATTCTGAAAGGGTATCAAGCTTTAAAGCTATTACTTAGCAGTGATCAATACATCAGACCTCAAACTTCATGACACCATCAAAGCCATGGTAGGTGAAGGGCTCCAACACAGGGCTGCACATCTCTTGAGCAAGGCATGCCATTCTGTTGTTGTCACAGCTGTCCTCGCTGCCCGGGCCAATGTACACCCCATCACTAGAGTGGATGGATGGATCCTCGTCAAAGTAGTTGTGGGGCCGCAGTATGACCCCGCCCCCGTTGCCCACGGTCACCGTATTGGGGATGTCTTCAGAGTGAGGAATGTGGAGGAAACCAGTGGTCACCCAGGCAACTAAGTCCTGCGAACACAATTTAATGTTTACATATTTTTGTATGTAGGTAAAAATACTACTTATTTTTATATGTAAATTCCATCTCAACACACCTCGCCTTCAATGCTTTCATTGTCTTCAATGTACTTGCTGAAGTCAACAGCTGGAGTCCAGATGTTGTTTTGGCTGTACAGACTGCTGCTGGTCTGCTCTATGTCCTTATGCTTGGTGATAGCAACCTTATACCTGGAGAACGACAAAAGAGGCACAGACAGAGTGGTCATTAACAACATACTGAATTTCCTTACATTTCCCAAGATCCTCCTGAGTCACATGACCTGTGTGTGTGGAATGGAACCAGAGCATGAGACAATAATACTTGTGATGTATGGTGGGTTTACTTCTTTTTACTGCTTCTGTAATAAAACCATTGAATATTTTTTCAGTTGCTACAAACACAGTGTATTAGTAGGGGGGATCCAATGATTATTTTCATTATTGATTAAGCTGTCAGTTATTTTCCTGACTAATCATTTTGTCTATAAATGTCAGAAAATAGTGAAAATTGCTTATTATAACTTCTCTCTCTCTTGTTCAGATATTCTTTTAACTGTCATAATTGTCATATTTGAGAAACTGAATTACAAAAAATGACTAAAAAAACTATCTGATTAGCTAATATTAGACACCACAGCTACTGGTCTTACCAGACCACAGCAACATCCCTGAGTGTAATGATTAATGAAGCGCATGTTTTATCAAACTTGAATTGAATTTTTTATTTGTGAGCGGAAGATTGTGTTGAACCAAAAATGGTATACAAGTTAATTTTAAATGTCGTCAACAGGACCTTAGAATCAATTCTGACACTGACAGGGAGTTAGTGAAGAACCTCTTCTTCAGGAATTTGTGAAAAACTTTGAATAAGCTGAAGATGACTGATTCACTTTTGACTTGGACTGAATAAAGAGAACTGGAATAGCCCAAATAAGAAGTAATGAAAGCAGGGACCTCTCTCTCCATATCTGTGAAGGTAAAAAATGGAAATTTGTCCAAGGTTATCAGCAGCAGAACCATGATTGAACCAGCCCTCGTCACATCCCATATTAACCCAATTCACCTTGTCTTGGGGTGACATACAACAGTGTTTAAAATGTTTGTGTAATATATGGCCCAATGACACTTTCAGTTTCTATTTATAGAACTGAACATGGTCCAAAGTGCAGACATCCACCAGGCAGTGTGTGTATCTTCTGCTCTCCAAACGCTTTGTGCTTTGACCAGAGAAAAAATACGTCAACATAGAAACACAAACACACTCTGTCTCCAGGACTTCCCTGTCCACAGGGGGGCTCATCCTCTGATTTTTACTTCCCAGCCATGTTGCACGAGAAGTACTTACTGTGTTTCTCACTAGAATAGTTTATAATAAGTTTAAAGTGAGCATGTTGCAGGTCATATTTCCCAGTCCTGTGAGTATGTAAAACACTTCATGTCTAACACAACTTTTAATCACCAGCCTCACCTAGCCCAGGACATGGCCCTCTCCTCTACCTGGCTCTCTGGCAGGTGGTCCCCTGTGAAGCTGAACACCTGCAGCCTGTAGGAGCGTTGGTGACCCCAGCGGTTGGTTTTGTTGCTGGCAATATGGAGGTAGCGAGGAGTCTTGGTATTGTAACGTAGAGCTGCCTCCTGTGGAAGTGTCACAGTAGATATTAGTCCCATGGTTTTTTTGCCTTCTCCAACATAAACAGCACATATGAGGCTATCATGGGTTGCTGGCGCTAAGTGATATAAATGGGATACTTGACATGTTGTAATTTAAAAACGCCACTTCTTAAACTGCCTGCAATATTGCCAAATAATAAAAAATAAACGTACAATAATTTAGATAAATCACAATAAGTCATTCCTTTGCTGTAATAAGATAACTGACAGGCTGAGCCCTTACAGAGGAATGAAGGGGTGAAATAAAGAAATTTGTGCAGTAGTTTAGTGGCCATAGGCAAACAGTGTGACATCAGCATCTAATGCAGCTGAGGAAATGTTTGCAGGTAAATTCACATGCTGCTTAATGCGCTACAGCTGAGCAGCTAATTAGCTATAATAGCAGTCTAATACAACAATAAATAGACAATAAATCCTCCTTTGTGAAGGTTGTAATGTTCACTTTGTATTAAAATTGTTTTAGAGATGTGTTGATTAAACTGTATGGTCATATTGGAGGTTGTAGATTGTGGTGCTGCTGAACTGTGCTGATGTATCATTATTTTATCCATCCTATTCATATCAGTGAGGGAAGGTTAAATAACATAAACACTTCTCCGTTTAATCTAGTACAATTCATCAGTACCACAGATTACATCCTCGACAGTTGAATCAGCACCTCTCTAAAATAGTTTCTGCATAAATGTAACATTATTGTAACTATTTTTCCTTGGAAATATGCAAATTCATACAAGTGCATCAAAATGTGTAGTGTGTGCAGTGTGAGTATGAAGATTCTAATGTGTACAAGATAAATTACAATTTATAATTATAACTTGTTACTTTTACCATCCCCTGATAATAAAACACATTCATTGTCAGTTAACAATTTTACTTAAAAAAGAAGAATTTTGAAATAAACTCCTTTATTTTACAAGTAAATGGCCATGATGGAAGAAATCGATCAAAATCCAATATTGCTGTTATAGTTAGACTTTCTTTACAAAAATAACACTGAGACATTTTGGTGTGTTAGAAGAGAACAGCTCATGCTATCTCCACACGTCAAAGGCTTGAGGTGATGTAGGCCCTGACCTCTGTTGACCTTTGACTTAATACTGTTACCTGTTGCATTCCATTTATACTAAAGGAAGTGAATAAAGGCAGACCTGTTCTGTTTTGAGCTGATTCTCCACCAGTTGAGGGACCATAGCATAGTGATCAGGCATCCACGGCAGTGAAACATTAACGTACTCCATGTCTTTGGTCTGGAATACATTCTTCACTCCTGCAGAGGAAATGATGCAGAAATCATTGTTCTAATAATTATTTTCTGTTTTCTCCTGTATATCCATGTCAGTTTTTTAATCTGTTACATTTTAAGATAAATTTGAAGCTGCACTAATCAATATTTTTGAGTCAACAATGTACCAAAGGACTATGGGTAGTGATGATGCGCCCACAGAGAATTTTATCAACCTGCAGTTCTTTATTTATTGTTTTGGTTACTGCTTTACTGTTTTGGTTCACACTATGTAAGTCTGATAATTAAGCATTGCTAAGTGGTGCATATTGTTGCATATCTAATGTTGCATAACTTTCAAATCAAACCACAATGGACTCCCAGCCATGCTCTGTGATTCATAATTGTTAATCCCAGTTTTGGGTCTAGGTTATTACATCAGCCACTGACTACAGACTAAGAATCATCTCACAGGAGAGCTTTTGAACTGCATGCCTGACTGCAGCTGTTAAATAGAAAATCTTCTCATCTCTGTTTTGTTTCTCATCACTGGTTCATCACTGATTGACTTGAACTCATCATCTCAGTATTTTAGCATCCTGGCTACAGCCCTGGCCTGGTCATGAAGTCCCATGGCCATGATGGACACATCAGTCTGGTCATAACTAAACTGATACAGTGATATGATATCAGATTTTTCTTTTTATGGTTGCGGTGGGATGTATACTGGTTTCAGCACCATCACCAGTGTGACGTTCTGCCACACCTGGGTTTTTACAATAGGCTCAATGCACCACTCACTTCATGTGATGCATTCTGCACTTAAAATAATGCATGCTAGTATTGAAAGGAACAGAGTGTGCAAGCACAGTTGTCTGTGGGGAGCGGAACTTGGTGAAAACTATGGGGCCCTGGCTGAGCTAGTCGTTTTGTGCACTAATTACCAGCCCCCACAGCAGACTCTGATTGAAGACCATCACCAAAGAGTCCAGGGGTAGGAAATTTAAGTGTTTCTAAGGTCTGTTATCTCTATCTGGTCATTTCTCCTAAAGGGGGTGAAATTTCTGGCAGCTCATTCTCAGCATCTTGACACCATAAACTACAGTTTTCATTTCCAGCAAAAAATATGTAATAGTTTAGTTCAGGAGTTAGTTATTGTAAAAGAACATTATGGGGCAGGCTACTCTTTTCAAACCACATGTAGACCAGGCCTATACCTAATTTTCATTTATATTTTGAGCCAATAAACACATCTGGTAAAGTTTGTCTTTCTTAAGATATTACTCTGCAAATAGAGTGACAAGTAAAATCATGTTATAATACCATCACAACAACAAAGTGAATAAATAAAAAAAATAAAATAATAAAAATACAATGATATACATTTTAGGTCATGCTAATACAACCTTTTAATGTCTATTAATTAGTTTATTTGTTTGTTTATTTGTCAGCAGGATTACAAAGTCCTGAACTGATTTGCACCAAATTTGGTGGAGGGGTGGAGCATGGGCCCAGTACCACATTAAATGTTGGTGCGGATCCAGTTAAAGGGATGGATCCAGGAATGTGTTGTCAATTTCCTTAACATTGCAAGATAGTATATGTTTATAATAATATGTAATAATAATAATGTTTTGATCTTAATGTGAAAAAGATCTATGAATTAGTATAGTTTGGGAAAGAGCCAGATAATAATCTATATGTAGTGAGAAAATTCTGAATCCAATACACACAGAGTTGTATATTATTAACAGCAACGAACCTTCAACAATCTGCTCAAAAAATAATATTAAAGAGGACGTTTAAATATTTGAATAGATGCTATGATGAAGTAAGAAATACAAGTGGTCATGGTTTTAAGTGAGAAAGTTCCTGATTTGGCTTTTTAAACTTTTTAATGTCACTTATTGACAAACACGCCCCTGTAAGAACGCACATTGCGAGACATATTATGGCTGTATGACTGGACTCAAAGAAGTCTACTCAACTCCAACTTTTTTAGAAGCATATGGAAAAATTCCTACTAAACCAAGGGTCTTTGTCTAATTTAACTATTATTATTTATTATTAACTATTATTATTATTATTATTACTATTGAGATGCTGGACACTAGAATTTCCCCTGAATAAAGTATCTATCTATCATGTTTATCAGTCAGTGGTGGCCAGTGTACTTTTTTATGCTGCAGTCTGCTGGGGCAGCAGCATGTCCGGAATGAACACAAAGAGACTGGACAAGCTGGTGAAAAAGGCTGGGTCTGTGCTCGGCAGGAGTCTGGACTCAGGACTGTTGTGGAGAGACGCATGCAATGTAAGATGGAGGCCATCTTAGACAATACCAACCATCCTCTCCACAACATTCTGGCAGGACAGAGAAGCAGCTACAGGTGCAGCAAACGTCTCATCTCAC